GACCAGGACCAGGACCAAGACCAGGACTGGGACTAAGACCAGAGACTAGACCAGGACCAGGACCGGGACTAAGACCAGGACCAGGACCAAGACCAGGACTAAAGACCAAGACCAGGACCAGGACCAGGACTAAGACCAGGACTAAAGACCAAGACCAGAGACCAAGACCAAAGACCAGAGACCAGAGACCAGAGACCAAGACCAGGACCAGGACCAGGACCAGAGACCAGAGACCAGAGACCAAGACCAGGACTAAAGACTAAGACCAGGACCAAGACCAAGACCAGGACTAAGACCGGGACCAAGACCAGGACCAAGACTAAGACCAGAGACTAGACCAAGACCAGGACCAGGACTAAGACCAGGACTAGGACCAGGACTAAGATCAGGACCAGGACCAAGACCAGGACCAGGACTAAGACCAGGACTAGGACCAGGACTAAGATCAGGACCAGGACTAAGACCAGGACTAAAGACCAGGACCAGGACCAGAGACCAGGACTAAAGACCAAGATCAAGACTAAGACCAAACACTAGACCAAGACAGAGACCAAAGACCACAGACTAGACCAAGACCAGGACTAAGACCACAGACTAATTCACAGAAATACTTGAATGAAGTGAAACTGAAAAATACAAATGAAATTACACAAGAACTTAAATTTAAAGAAGAAAAGAGCAAACACGCTTAAGTTTTATAAAAATTCTGAGGGAAAAAAAAAAAAAAAAAAAAAAGAAAATGGTACCAGAGTTGAAAGTTAATGTTTGGATGCGGGAAATTCTTCAGAACTTTAAGAAAAAATAAAAATAAAAATAATATAATAATGGCCGACTGTTTATTTGTAGATCTCAGTTTGTGTTTTCATAATTTTCCATAATATAATTTTCTTTTTAAAAAATTTTTTATAAAATTTTAATCCATTAAGACGTCCCAGGCTTTAAACGCAGATTTTTTATTTTGATTTTTTTAAGTTTATTTTTTCCAAGAGGCAAATATGAAATGATAAATTAAACACTTAAATATCCAAGAAAATGTTCAGGACACATTTTCCAGTCTTTTTATTTTCATTTTTTGAGACTTTGAAAACTGAAAAATGTTACCGACTCAAAAGTGTGAATGAAAAAAAAAACAAGTTCAGTTTTTTTGACGAGGAAAAACATTTTAACACGACTTAAAGTTCCCAAGAGTCGATTTGTGTAGAATATGGAACATTTAAAACAAACATCAAACAAACTCAAGACCAATTTTTGTGTCGCTCAGGTTTTCAGGTGGAGGATCATTCTGAACTGTTAAAAATAAAAAATAATATTTTCACTTAAACTCCAGACTGAGGCAGACCAAAGACCAAAGACCAAGACCAGACCAAAGACCAAAGACCAAGACCAGACCAAAGACCAAAGACCAAGACCAGACCAAAGACCAAAGACCAAAGACCAGACCAAAGACCAAAGACCAAGACCAGACCAAAGACCAAAGACCAAGACCCGTCCAAAGACCAAAGACCAAGACCAGACCAAAGACCAAAGACCAAGACCAGACCAAAGACCAAAGACCAAGACCCGTCCAAAGACCAAAAGCCAGACCAAGACCACACTAAATACCAGGCTAAAGTCCAGAACAAGACCAAACCAAGACCATACCAAAGACCAGACCAAGATCAAGACCAGACCAGACTAAGACCAGACCAAAACCAGATCAAAGACCAAAGACCAAGACCAAACCAAAGACCAAAAGTCAGACCAGACCAGACCAAGACCCAAGGCCAACTGGCTCAAATTTTCTTAAGTAGTATTTTTTTACTTTTTGCAAGTTTTTATTTATTTTTTTATCTGCCTCAATAAAACCAAAAAAAAAAACATTTGGTTTTTGGTTTGTAGGATTTAAACTCGACTGAAGATCTGGAGGATCATTCTGACCTAAAAAACTGAAAATATTTCAATTTAACTCCAGACTGAGGCCCTACACCTGCCCTCTGGTCTTGCTCTGGTCTTGCTGTGGTTTTGGTCTTGCTCTGGTCTTGCTCTGGTCTTGCTCTGGTTTTGGTCTTGGTCTGGTCTTGCTCTGGTCTTGCTCTGGTTTTGGTCTTGGTCTGGTCTTGCTCTGGTCTTGCTCTGGTCTTGCTCTGGTTTTGGTCTTGGTCTGGTCTTGCTCTGGTCTTGCTCTGGTCTTGCTCTGGTTTTGGTCTTGGTCTGGTCTTGCTCTGGTCTTGCTCTGGTCTTGGTCTGGTCTTGCTCTGGTCTTGCTCTGGTCTTTGGTCTTGGTCTGGTCTTGCTCTGGTTTTGGTCTTGGTCTGGTCTTGCTCTGGTCTTGCTCTGGGTCTAGTCTTGGTCTTGGTCTTGGTCTAATCTTGGTCTCGATTAAAAAAAGTTCAGTCCTGTCGCTGAACCGTTCCCTCGATTCGGTTTAATTTTGAAAGTCCGGAGCGGAAGTCGCGCGCAGGTGTCGCGGCCCTTTACGCGCTCCGTTGAGGAAGTGTAAAATAAAACTCGGTGTTTTCGGGGCAAATCGTCGCCGAAATGTCGAACTTTTCCCTCACGACGTGTAAAAAAAACCGACAAAGCGCGCGGACTTTGGCTGGAAAAATGCGTAGAGTCGTTTTAAAATGGCGACAAACGCGCGTAAAGAAGTTGTCCGCTCCGTGCGCTCTAGAAGCTTCATAAGCCCACGGAGCGGAAAGCAGGAAGGACTCGTCACACCAATGTTTTTACGCGTTTTATAACCAACATTTCGCGTTCGTTTCGCTCTTTAAACGCGCTTTTTCATTCGGGGAATATTAAAGAAACGCGTTTTATTTATTTCCCCCGCGAGTGACACCAGATTTAGTCCGAGACGCGGCGCGTAAATCTGCTTAAGTGTGCAACAACAGCGTCAAAAATGTCACGAGTAAAGCTCAAATGTACAGTGCAAGGTGCAGGAGATTAGAAGAGCGCAGAAATGCAGACGGAAAATGCGCAAAAGAAGAGAAGAGAATAAAAGAAAATAAGGTGAAAACGGAGGGAGGGGGGGTGATTTGTAACGGTGCCGGGTAGCGGTCGAAACGAAGAAACTTGGAGGAGGGAAGAGACTCACCGGTGAGAGGAGCGACAGCGGCCGGCCATCAGTGCGCGGAGAGCGGGGGGAGAGAGCGCGGAGAGAGGCGGTCCGTCCGTGGGCTCCGGCGGCGGGCGGGCGGGGAGGGGGGAGAAGGCGGCGGACCAGGCGGAGGTGTCCCGGCGCGGAGGGTCAGTCAGCGGGACGGAGCGACAGCTGGAGCCGCCATGTTCCCCCGGTGCTGTGAGGCTGTTTATCCAGCTCGCTCTGCCCTCCTCCTCCTCCTCCTCCTCGGCTCCGGCAGCGCTCAGCTCATTAGCGGAGCCACACGGAGCTCGGAGAGGAGGTCAGTGCGCTGGTGCTGCAGGGGCGGGGGCGCCGAGGGGGCCCAGGGGGCAGGGGACCCACACTAAGGGGCCCCAGTGTAAGAAACGGTCTGATTATCGTCGACAGCACTTCATAATTTATTACACCATTAGTCTGCTGGAAAATAAATTCTGTAACTGGGCAAAAGTTTTTTAGATGATTTGAGTGTTTTTCATTTTGTACAGACAATCCGTGTGTCGTTCGTTCATTTATTTGTTTGTTTGTTTTTTTAATAAAGAAACAAAAATAAGAAAATGAAAAAAACAACTATTTTCTTACTTTTTTGTCTCTAAAGACAAAATAAAAAAAACAGATAATGATTCTGTTTTTTTTTTTTTTTTTTTCAGTTTTCGATTTTGGGTTAAAATGAAAAATGGAAAAAAAAAGAAAAACCGTACTGAACCAGAACTGAACCAGGACTAAACCAGGTCCGGGACCAGACCGGAACCGGACCGTGATTGAAACCTGGACCGGACCATGTTTGAGACTGGGACTGAGACCGGGTCCAGACCAGGACCGGACCATGTTTGAGACCGGGCCTCATTAGCGGAGCCACACGGAGCTCGGAGAGGAGGTCAGTGCGCTGGTGCTGCAGGGGCGGGGGCGCCGAGGGGGCCCAGGGGGCAGGGGACCCACACTAAGGGGCCCCAGCGCTGGAAAATAAATTCTGTAACTGGACAAAAGTTTATTAGACGATTTGAGCATTTTTCATTTGGTACAGACAATCAGTGTGTTATTTGTTCATTTGTTTACGTTTTTTTTTTTTTTTTAATAAAGAACCAAAAATAAGAAAGAAAAAAAAAAATCTTCATTATTTGTCTCCTAAACCAAAATGAAAAAACCTGTTTTGGACCATTTTTTGACCTGGTTTGGACCTGCTTTGGACCGTGTTTGGACATGTTTTGGACCTGTTTTGGACCGTGTTTGGACATGTTTTGGACCTGGTTTAGACCTGTTTTGGACCATGTTTGGACCTGTTTTGGACCGTGTTTGGACATGTTTTGGACCTGTTTTGGACCTGGTTTGGACATGTTTTGGACCTGTTTTGGATCTGTTTTAGACCTGGTTCGGACCTGTTTTGGACCTGGTTTAGACCTGTTTTGGACCTGGTTTAGACCTGTTTTGGACCATTTTTTGACCTGTTTTGGACCTGGTTTGGACCTGTTTTGGACCATTTTTTGACCTGTTTTGGACCTGGTTTAGACCTGTTTTGGACCATTTTTAGACCTGTTTTGGACCATTTTTGGACCTGGTTTGGACCTGCTTTGGACCTGTTTTGGACCTGGTTTGGACATGTTTTGGACCTGGTTTGAACCTGTTCTGGACTGGTTTTGGACCTGTTTTGGACCTGGTTTAGACCTGTTTTGGACCATTTTTTGACCTGTTTTGGACCTGGTTTGGATCTCGATGGCCTCTCTGATCCAGTCTAGTATTTATTATTTTTAGCACAGATCAGTTTTTTAGCACAGTTCCAGTCTTTGGAGACGAACAAAATCAAACAAACGGGTTTTTTTTTTTTTTTTTTCCTGATGAAACAAAACCTGAAACTTTTACACACACAGATGTTGATCAGTAAAAGGACAAACTGACCGGTGCGCTGTGGTCCGACAAATCACAACAACTTTATTTGACTTTATTTACAATTAAGTTCACACAGTTCTGTTTTTATGGCACATTCTTTCATTTGAAATCACAACACAGAAATATAAATTAAACCAAAATCTCATTCTCACACTGAGCCGCTCTGAGTCTCCATCAGACTCTCACAGGTTGCTCTTCCATAAGGACGTTTCATTCACTAAGGAAAAAACAAAACAAAAAAACATTAGATTATTACAAGTTTCCAGTTAAAATTATAAACTTAAACGATGATTCAAACTCAAAATAAAAGCCGTCACACGCTACAGGAGAATTTACTCGACTTTGGCTGCGATTTGTGTCTCCCTGAGTTCAACTTTGTGTTTTCATGTGCGACTCTGAGCTGCTTCGAACTATAAGTCACACTTTTTTTTTCATGGTTTGTGTGTTTCCTGTGACGTCTATATTAAAATGTTTGAGTGACGCGGTGAGAGGCTCTAGTCTTGTGTGTCAGTATCTGCTGCTCCTGTTCCTCCTGTAACAGTGTAGTGGAGTAACAGATTACATGTACCGGAGTAATCAGAGTACAAATGATGAGTAACTGTATTCAGTTACAGTTACTGTTTCAGTGAGTGGTAATTGGATTACAGTTACTTTGTTGAAGTAAATGGATTACACAGAGGGATTTTCCTGTTTTCATGTTTTAGGGTATTTCCCTTTTTTTTTTTTTTTTTGGGTAATTCCACTCATTGCCGAACACTAAACCAGGTCTAAAACCAGGTCTAAACCAGGTCTAAAACCAGGTCTAAAACCAGGACTAAACCAGGTCTAAAACCAGGACTAAACCAGGTCTAAACCAGGTCTAAAACCAGGTCTAAACCATAAACCAGGTCTAAACCAGGTCTAAACCAGGCCTAAACCAGGAAAACTAAACCAGGTCTAAAACCAGGTCTAAAACCAGACTAAACCAAGGTCTAAACCAGGTCTAAACCAGGTCTAAACCAGGCCTAAAACCAGGACTAAACCAGGCCTTAAACCAGGACTAAACCAGGCCTAAACCAGGACTAAACCAGGCCTAAAACCAGGACTAAACCGGGCCTAAAACCAGGACTAAACCAGGTCTAAACCAGGTCTAAAACCAGGACTAAACCAGGTCTAAACCAGGTCTAAAACCAGGTCTAAACCAAGACTAAACCAGGTCTAAACCAGGCCTAAAACCAGGACTAAACCGGGCCTAAAACCAGGACTAAACCAGGTCTAAACCAGGTCTAAAACCAGGACTAAACCAAGACTAAACCAGGTCTAAACCAGGCCTAAAACCAGAACTAAACCAGGCCTAAAACCAGAACTAAACCAGGTCCAAACTAGGTCTGAATCAGGTCTAAAACCAGGTCTAAAACCAGGTCTAAAACCAGGTCTAAAACCAGGTCTAAACCAGGTCTGAATCAGGTCTGAATCCGGTCTAAAACCAGGTTTAAAACAAGGACTAAAACCAGGTTCAAACCAGGTCTAAACCAGGACTAAAACAGGTCTAAATCCTGCTGTGTGGACGTGTCTCTTCGTTTTCTATCAATAATATTTTTAATTTGGTTCAGTAAAATCTGGACTTTTTATTTTCTTTTATCAGACAAAACTTCTTATGTGAAGATTTCCTCGTCTTTGTTTCTCTACAGCAAATCAAATAATCCAAAGTAATCAGATTACATTACTCACTTTAAGTAATTTAATGGATTCTGTTACAAACTACATTTTGGTGTGTGTAATCTGTAATCTGTAGGGGATTACATTTTAAAACTAAACTTCCCAACACTGATTATAATATTTTCTATAAAGTAGCTAAACAAACACGTCGGAAACAAGCGGTAAAAGCTCCGTAATAAGCATTATTATTAACACATATAATTGGCCTTTGAACACACATTTTCTATAATCATCTCCTGCTAAGAACTTTAAAACATGTAAACATGTCGATGTACATGTGTGTGTGTTTCTTTAAAACACTACTCACTTCTTTAATCCGCACGACCCACTGAAAACAACTAAAAACACAATCAAACTTTAAAAAAACCCCGACAGCATCTGATTGGTCACAATATCTGTCAATCAAACACCCGGCAGAAATATATGATGTCTGAGGTCGAGGCCGAGTTGTTCAGAAGTGACACGGAGGATGAAGAATTGAATGAATTAAAAAGGTGATAATCCCTGTGCACTGCTACTCAAGTGTTCAAATGTTCTTTTTTTTCCCCTTGTTTTTTTTTTTTTATTTAAACTTCTTTGTATCCTTAATGGAATAAGGGAAAGAAAAAACATAAAAAATAAAAATTCAATACTATCAAAGAGAGATACGTGAAGTAAAAAAGAAAGCAAATTGTTGTACTGTCTGTTGTATTGTCTCTATTTAACTGTTAATAAAAATTTCAATAAAAAAAAAAAGAATTGAAGTGATTTAGTGATTTGGAGTGAGATGGAGAGTTTGTTAAACTTGTTCTGTTCTGTTGTTTATGTTATAGTTTTTCTGAAGAACTGTTCATATGTGACGTTAACAGTCTGTTGTTTTCTCTTCTGTTGTTTTTACTACAACTTGACTTTACACAGGAAATGTCTGCTCCTGATCTCTCATTTTATACATAAATTCCTCCCTAAAAATGCGACTTATATATGTTTTTTCTTCTTCATTATGCATTTTTTGACTGGTGCGACTTATAGTCCAAAAACTACAGTACTTGGGCCCGGTCCAGCAGAAGTAAACAACAAGACCAAGAATTCAAGTTAATTCATCTGATATAAAAATGTATTGAACAGATACATATGTGCTCTAGTTTATCAAACTGTTGACCTTTTTTCTGGACCATTTTTGGTTCTAAAGTTCCATATGTTTTAAACAGACCATGTATGAAACATGGAACAAAAATTATTTCCCAAATTTCAAAGACCTGAAAATCATGTAAATAAATGTTTGTATTTCATCATATCTTGTGTTATTCCATCTTTGAACTGTTGATGAAGGGACATGATTTTTAAAAAAAAAAGTATTTAAAATGATAAAAATGTTCTTGGAAGGATTAACATATTTTATAGAAATAGTTTCCTTTCATTTTGAAGTAATATTAAAATATTCAGAAGAAAAAAGCGACAAATGATGTAAAATCCTGCACCTTCTACTTGTTTGTACAATTTTCCCTCCGTTACTTTTCCCTCCGTTACCATGACCTTTCTTAATATAAAATCTCATGAGTCAAAAAGTCAGAGGTTTTTCAACCTAATCTTGTACCATATGGTAGAAAACTATATGAAGCAAATATTCAAACCAGTTTGTTAAGGATATGTAAGTGAGAACCAAGAGTTATCACTGTTTGGATTTATTGACCAAAAAGTGCTGCATATTTCATTCCCTCCATTACCGACATGAGTTTTTTAATTTTTTGTCAACAACTTGAAAGAATCTCACAGGTTTAACTTGACCCTGTTGGAGTGTAACTCTTTCCTACATTCTGATACTTTACTTATTTCAATAGTTCCTCTAGTTTCTGAATAAGAGACATTTGAATGTCAAAAATCTGACCCTGTTTCCCTCCGTTACCACTTGACCGGACCCACTTATCTCTTGTAAAGTTATAAATTTAAACTGCAGCGTCTCATCCACATTATCTATAGAATTTATCCTCCACAAATAATGACTCCAGTTCACAAAAACTTCAGCTCTGTGAATCCAGTTTGAGTCCTTGTTTAAAAGTAAAAAGGTGGGAGTAGTTCCTCACGAGCTGAAGCTGCAGATTCTCCACAGTGATTCTACTTCCTGTGGACTTTATCTCCAATCTTTTATGTTTTAAAAATCCTGTATCTGAAGTTTTGCTCCACATTTCACAAACAATAATAATCACACAGTTTGGACAGAGTTTTTGTATCTAATCTAGAAGTGCAGAGTCTTGATCTTTAAACATCTGACGTCATCACAGACTCACACGTTTATCTCCTGATCCACACACAGATCCCGCTGCAGACTGTCAGATCACAGATTTAAAATCTCGTCAGATTCTCCTCGAGTCTGTGGTGTTTGCGCTTTTTGTCGCACGTTTAAAAATCGTTTAAGTCTGAAAAATCCTGCAGTGTGTGTCGGTGTTTAAATAAAAGTGTAAACCGCCCGTGGAGTTTGAGTCGTACCCAGGCTGATCTTTCCTTCCTTCTGCAGTTTCTTCAGATGGTGCAGCAGGTTCACCTCGGCCGCTCGGTGCAGATGCTCTGGAGTTTCCTGAAAATCAAACACATCCATTATTAAACCAGGAAAAACACAAAACTATGTATATTAAGTTTAAAATTACAATAGTGATACAATAGACGCTGTTGTACAAACTTTAACTGTAGAATATTTCATCATTGGCTTTGGTTCTACTGTTAGTAAATGACTACAACAGTAACTAGAATACACTACTACTACTACTACTACTTGCTACTACTACTGCTACTGCTACTGCTACTGCTATACTCTACTGCTTGCTGCTGCTTGCTGCTGCGTGCCTGCTGAGCTAGCTTGCATGTGCACTGACAGGCTGACCTTAAACTGCGTACTCGCTAGCGTACTGCATACCTGCACTACTTGACTACATGTTAACTGCTTACTGAGTGCAGTCCTAAGTAGGCCTGCTACTCTGAGCTAGAGCTGCCTGCAGTGCCTGCTAGTGAGCTGCGACTGCCTGGCTCGGGGCGCCTGACTGCTGCTGCTGCTAAGGCAGCCTGCTAGAACGCTCCTTCTACTGCTCACGCGCAGCCTGCATCGCTGCCGACTGCCTAGACATCGCTAGCTGCTGCTATGCTAGGCTCGCTACTGCTACTAGCTACTTTCTACTATGCTGACTGCTGCTGCTGATGGTTCTGACTGCATGCTGCTAGCCTGCTGACTGCTTGCATGTTGCTGAGCTAGTTGCCTACTAGCTATGCTTTGCTACCTGTACTGCTACTGCTGCTGCTCTAGCTGAACTGCTTGGCATGCTCGCTGCTAGTGTGCTGCTCGTCGCTGCTGCTGCTGCTGCTGCTGACTACTGCTACTTGCTACTGTGCTGCTACTGCTTACTGCTGCTACGTGCTACTGCTACTGCTGCTACTGCTAACTGCTACTGTATGTAACTTCTACTGCCTGCTTGCTTGCGCTGCTGCTGCTGCATTGCTTAGTGAACTACTGCTGCTGCTACTGCTACTGCTACTGCTACTTCTATGCTGCCTGCTACTGTATGCTTACTTACGCTACTGCTGCTGCTGCTACTGCTATGCTATGCTAGCTGCTGCTACATGCTACATACGCTACTGCTACTACTGCTACATGCACTTATACTACCTGCTACTACTATAACTTACTACTGTTACTACTGCCTCTAGCTACTACTACCTATACATGCTACTGCATACTGCTACTACTCGCTTACTACTACTAATACTTTTACTACTGCTTACTATGCTACATGCTACTACTCACTACTACTGCTGACTACTACTACATCTACTGCTCACTGCTATATGCTACTACCTACTACTACTACTGCTTACTACTGCTAACTGCTACTACTACTACTCTACTACTACTGCTGCTATACACATACTGCTAACTGCTAATGCTACTAACTACGCTACTGCTATGCTACTGCTACTGACTGCACTACTTCACTACTACATACTCACTACTACTATACTATAACTACTATACTACTACTACTTACTACTACTTACTGACTACTACTACTACTACTACTACTACTACTACTACTACTACTACTACTACTACTACTACTCACTACTACTACTACTACTACTCACTACTACTAGTATTACTACTACTATACTACTACTACTCCCTACTACTACTACTACTACTACTCACTATACTACTACTACTCCTAACTACTACTACTACTTTACTACTCCTATTACTCCACTATCTACTACATCCTTCTACTCCTACTACTGCTATAACAAATACTACTACTGTATTATCTACTTATAACTAAACTATTACTACTAATCTTACTTACTCTAATACTACTCTATTGCACTCTATCTCAAAATACTACATACTCCTACTACTAACTCCTACTGCCTACTACTACTACTACTACCTAACACTCTAATACAATACTCATCTTACATGCTCTTACCTAACTCCTACTAAAAACTACTAGCCTAACTAGTCTCAGGTTGAGTTTGGATGAAGTCTTCGGCTCTAGTCTTGGTATTAGTTCTTGGTCTAGTCTTGGTTTAGTCTTGGCGTAGTCTCGGTCTACGTCTCGTATCTGTCATCGGTCTAGTTGATTGTTCTAGTTCTCGGTCTAGTTCTTGGATCTAGTCTCAGGTCTAGTCTCGGTTCTAGTTTGTCTAGTTTTGGTCTGTTTGGTTTTAGTCTTGAGTGTAAGTCTTGGGTCTAGTCTTTGGTATGTTAGGTCATTGAGTCTAGTCTTTGGTTGTTAATTGTCTAGTCATCGGCATAGTTTTGGATTCTAGTCTTGGGTCTAGTCTCGGTCTGTCTCGCTGTAGTCTCGGTAGTCTATGTCTATCATTAGTCTAGTTCTCGGTCTAGTCTTGGTCTAGTCTCGGGTCTAGTACTCGGTCTTCTATTTTGGTCTCAGTCTCGATTCTATTTTGTCGAGGTCTCGTCTATTCTTGGTTAGTCTTGGTCTAGTTGTTGTCTAGTCTTCGGTCAGTCTTGGTCTAAGTTCTCGGTCTTATCTTAGGTCTAGTCATCGGTCATAGTCATTGGTTTAGTCTTGGTCTCAGTCTCGGTCTAGTCGTATTAGGTCTTAGTACTTGGTCTAAGTCTTGTTCTAGTTTTGTGTAGTCTCGGTCTAGTCTTAGGTCTAGTTCGGCGTAGTCTCAGTTTAGTACTTCTTGGTCTAGTCCTCGGTCTAGTTTTTGGTTAAGTTCTTGGTGTAGTCTTGGATCTGTTTTGAGTTCTACGTCTCGGTCTAGTCTCGGTCAGTCTGGATGTAGTCTTGGTAGTTGTCTTGGTTGTGTCTTGGTCTAGGTCTCGGCTAGATCTTGTCTAGTTCTTTTGGTTAGTCTTGGTCTAGTTCGGTCTAGTCTCGTCCTAGTGTCCGGTTCTAGTCGTCGGTCTAGTCTCGGATTCTAGAGTCTCGGTGTGTCTTGTTAGTCTTGGTCTAGTCATTGGTCTGCTCGTCGTAGTTTGGCTCTAGTCTCGGTATTAGTCTTTAGTTTCTAGTCTTGGCTGTCTTGGTTTAGTCTTGGTCTGATCATCGGTTCTAGTCTTGGTTTAGTCTTGGTCTAGTCTCGGCTCTGTCTTGGTTTAGTTTGGTCTGTTCAGGTCTAGTCTCGGTTTAGTTTTACGGTGTATGTCATGGTTCTAGTCTTGTTTTAGTCTTGGTTTTAGTCTCGGATAGCTTGGTGTAGTCTTGGTGTAGTCTGGTGTAGTCATTTGGATTCTAGTCTCGGTCATAGTCTCGGTTTAGTCTTGTTTGTCTCGGGTCTAAGTCTTGGTGTAGTTTTGTGTAGTCTTGCTGATGTTCTGGTCTAGTCTCGGTCTAGTCTCGGGTAGTCTGGGTCTATGTCTAGTTTAGTCTTGGTTAATCTGGGTTAGTCTTGGTCATAGTCTCGGTCTAGTTGTTTAGTCTTGGATTTAGTCCTTGGTGTAGTCTCGGTTCTTGTCTTGGTCTAGCTCGCGGTCTAGTCTTAGGGTAATTCTCGCTCTAGTCTTGGTCTAGTCTTGGTCTAGTTTTGGTCTAGTCTTGGCTCTAGTCTCGGTGTCTTGTCTAGTTCTCTTGTTAGTTTTTGGTCTACTTGGTCTAGTCTTCGTCTAGTTTGGTCTAGTCTCGGTCTGTTTAGGTGTAGTCTGGGTCTTTAGTCTTGGTCTGTCTTGGTCTAGTCTTCTGGTTTTGGTCTAGTCTCGGTCTTCTTGGTTTTTGTCTAGTCTCGTTAGTCTTGGTCTAGGTCTAGTTCATCTTAGTCTTGGTCTAGTCTTGCATGTAGTCTTGGTTTAGTCTTGGTCTAGTCTCGGTTAGTCTTGGTCTTAGTAGTCTTGGTCTAGTTTTGGTTTTAGTCTTGGTTTAGTCTCTAGTCTAGTGTAGTCTTGTTAGTCTTGGTGTAGTCTTGTCTGTCCATCCGTCTAGTCTTTGGTCTAGTCTTGGTGTAGTCTTGGTTTAAGTCTTGGTCTAGTTTTGTCTCGGTCTAGTCTTGGTCTAGTCTTGGTCTAGTCTTGGTCTAGTCTCGGTCAGGACCTGAGTTGGAGGATTTGACGTGTTGTGGAGGTGTAAAAGTGTAAATATTGAAAATCGTGTGGAACATTGTGGAATCTTGTGACAGTCATGTTCTTCTGTCGCTGCATTTTTCTGCTTTTTCATTCACAAACATGTTTTTCTCTATTTCAGCAAAACAATCCACAATTTATGATTTTTTTTACTCTTTTATTTACTTTAGTCCAGTTTTAGTCCCGGTTTAGACCTGAAGTAGTCCTGGTTTAGTCCTGGTTTAGACCTGAAGTAGTCCTGGTTTAGTCTTAGTTTATCTGGTTTGGTTAGACTTCCTAGTTTAGTCCTGAAGATGTTTAGTCCTGGTTTAGACTGAGTTTAGTCCTGGTTTAGACCTGATGTAGTTCTGTTTAGTTTAGTCCTGTTTTAGTACCTGGTGGTAGTCCTTTATTTTTTAGTCCTGTTTTAGTGATGTTTTGTTCCTGATGTAGTTTTAGTCCTGGTTTAGACCTGGTTTAGACCTAATGTAATCCTGGTTTAGTCCTGGTTTAGACCTGGTGTAGTCCTTAGTTTAGTCCTGTTTTAGTCCTGGTTTAGATTTGATGTAGTCCTGGTTTAGTTCTGGTTTAGACCTGATGTAGTCCTTAATTTAGTCCTGGTTTAGATCAGATTGGTCCAAAATAGCGACATTTGGGACATTTCTTATATAAATAGGGACAAATCAGTGGTTTTGTGTAAATCTGTAGGACACTGGGTCAAACTGGGACTGTCCCGGGTCATCATGGTGGGCTGGTCACTTGGGTGTGGTTTCTGGTGTAGTTTTCTGGTGCGGTGATTTTCTGGTGCTCAGGTGGTGTAGTTTTCTTGTGGGTGTTTTTCTGGTGCGGTGCAGGTGGCTCTGGTGTAGTTTTCTGGTGTGGTGCAGGTGGCTCTGGTGTAGTTTTCTGGTGTGGTTTAGTTTTCCTTGGTGTAGTTTTCTGGTGTGGTGCAGGTGGCTCTGGTGTAGTTTTCTGGTGCGGTGCAGGTGGCTCTGGTGTAGTTTTCTGGTGTGGTTTAGTTTTCCTTGGTGTAGTTTTCTGGTGTTGCAGGTGTGCAGTGGCTCTGGTGTAGTTTTCTGGTGCGGTGCAGGTGGCTCTGGTGTAGTTTTCTGGTGCGGTGCAGGTGGCTCTGGTGTGTTTTCTGGTGTGGTGCAGTGTGGCTCTGGTGTAGTTTTTGGTGTGGTGCAGGTGGCTCTGGTGTAGTTTTCTGTGTGGTGCAGGTGGCTCTGGTGTAGTTTTCTGGTGTGGTGTAGTTTTCTGGTGTGGTGCAGGTGGCTCTGGTGTAGTTTTTCTGGTGCTGGTGCAGGTGGCTCTGGTGTAGTTTTCTGGTGTGGTGCAGTTTTCCTGTGGCCTTGGTGTAGTTTTCGGTGTGGTGCAGGTGGCTCTGGTGTGTAGTTTTCTGGTGCTGGTGCAGGTGCTCTGGTGTAGTTTTCTGGTGCGGTGCAGGGTGTTGTAGTTTTGGTGCAGGTTTTCTGTAGGTGGCTCTGGTGTAGTTTTCTGGTGCGGTGCAGGTGGCTCTGGTTGTAGTTTTCTGGTGGTGCAGGTGCTGGTGGGTGCTCTGGTGTAGTTTTCTGGTGCGGTGCAGGTGGCTCTGGTGTAGTTTTCTGGTGTGGTGTCTGGTTAGTTTTCTGGTGTAGTTTTCTGGTGCGGTGCAGGTGGCTCTGGTGTAGTTTTCTGGTGCGGTGCAGGTGGCTCTGGTGTAGTTTTCTGGTGTGGTGCAGGTGGCTCTGGTGTAGTTTTCTGGTGTGGTGCAGGTGGCTCTGGTGTAGTTTTCTGGTGCGGTGCAGGTGGCTTCTGGTGTGGTGGCTGGTGAGTTTTCTGGTGCGGTGCAGGTGGCTCTGGTGTAGTTTTCTGGTGTGGTTTAGTTTTCCTTGGTGTAGTTTTCTGGTGCGGTGCAGGTGGCTCGGGTGTAGTTTTCTGGTGCGGTGCAGGTTGGCTCTGGTGTAGTTTTTCTGGTGTGGTGCAGTGGCTCTGGTGTAGTTTTCTTGGTGCTGGTGCAGGTGGCTCTGGTGTAGTTTTCTGGTTGGTGCAGGTTTTCTGGTGTAGTTTTTCTGGTGCGGTGCAGGTGGCTCTGGTGTAGTTTTCTGGTGCGGTGTAGTTTTCTGGTGTGTGCTGGTGTGGTGCTAGGTGGCTCTGGTGTGTAGTTTTTCTGGTGTGGTGCAGGTGGCTCGGGTGTAGTTTTCTGGTGCGGTGCAGGTGGCTCTGGTGTAGTTTTCTGGTGTGGTGTAGTTTTCTGGTGCGGTGCAGGTGGCTCTGGTGTAGTTTTCTGGTGTGGTGTAGTTTTCTGGTGTGGTGCAGGTGGCTCTGGTGTAGTTTTCTGGTGTGGTGTAGTTTTCTGGTGCGGTGCAGGTGGCTCGGGGAACCTCAGACCTTGTAGACCTTCTTGACGAGCTCGGTGGAGGTGCAGCCCGTCGTCTCCGCGTCCCTCACGGCCTCCAGGATCTGCTCCTCTCTCTGGTTTCTGTGGGCGATGTACTGCTGGATCTTCGAGAGAGCGTCCTGCACCACCGGACCGTGACCTGGAGACACACGAGGACCCGGCAGAACTTTACGGTTTATAAAAATGATTCTTCTTCATATTTGTGCTGCAGTTTGTAACAGAGTCCTGAATCTGAAGAATCCATCAGAATATGAATTTGAAAAGTTACGACTTCAAGAATTACAATCACCAAATGAAATGAAACGGTTTCACTTTTTTCAGTACCAGAACCAGGACTAACCCAGGACTAAAACCCGGACTAAACCAGAAGGACTAAACTAAACCAGGACTTTAGGTCCTGGACTACCTGGTAAACTTAAACCAGACTAAACCAGGACTAAACCAGGACTTAAACCTGGTTTAGACCTGGTTTAGTCCTGGTTTAGAGTGCCTGGTTTAGAGACCTGGTTTAGACCTGGTTACCTGGTTTAGTCCTGGTTTAGACCTGGTTTAGAGACCTGGTTTAGACCTGGTTTAGACCTCCTGGTTTAGTCCTGGTTTAGTCCTAGTTTAGTCCTGGTTTAGACCTGGTTTAGTTTTAGTCCTGGTTTAGACCTGGTTTAGTCCTGGTTTAGTCCTGGTTTAGACCTGGTTTAGACCTGGTTTAGTCCTGGTTTAGACCTGGTTTAGTCCTGGTTTAGTCCTGGTTTAGTCCTGGTTTAGACCTGGTTTAGACCTGGTTTAGTCCTGGTTTAGACCTGGTTTAGAGTCCTGGTTTAGACCTGGTTTAGTCCTGGTTTAGTCCTGGTTTAGTCCTGGTTTAGACCTGGTTTAGTCCTGGTTTAGTCCTGGTTTAGTCCTGGTTTAGTCCTGGTTTAGTCCCCTGGTTTAGTCCTGGTTTAGTCCTGGTTTAGTCCTGGTTTAGTCCTGGTTTAGTCCTGGTTTAGTCCTGACTCACTACCTGCCCATAAAATTCCAGAACGTTAAAACCCTCGTGGACCAGACCCGGTGCAGGACTCTGGTTGGGTTTAGGGTTTCAAATCTCTAGACTGGAGTCGTTAGTGATTCACTCCACACGTCAGTCTGAGCCGCCTCCGACCAACAACGCCAAACTTTCACCACATTCAGACTTAAAGCGGTTGAGGCGTCTTGTCTAGAGCGACACTGGGACTGTCCCTGTTCACCCGGGACAGTCCCAGTGTTGATCCTGTGTCCCCTGTCCCAGCAGATTTACACAAAAAACACTGATTTGTCCCAGTTTTATACAAGAAATGTCACTATTTTTGACCAATCTGATCCCTGCCGACAGTAAACAAAGACATACATTGATATTTCTTTAAAGGTTGTATGGAGGATTTTTTGTTTTTGTTTCAAATTGTCAAAGAAAATTTAAAACACCATTACAGAGACGCAGCAGCCTTGGAATTATGATGAACAAAAAAAAAAAAAAAAAAAAAAATCTATCAACTGTGGACGTGTTGAGACCAGATAAACATCAGCCAATAGAAAACCAGGCTCCCTCATTTCCTATTGGCTGTTGGGTTGTCAATCAAACTCCCTACGTTTCTAGTGTAACTGACTCGTCGGCGCGCGGGGATTATGTGGTTTATGCGTCGGTTCTTGGAGGCTTTTTCAAACCGTCGCTTTCTCACATTTCGTACAAAGTTTGTCGCGACGGCGGACGAGAATCCACGACCAGTTCGCCGCGAAACAAAGTCGGTTTTTGAGGTCGCCGAAAGAAGAAGAGAAGAAGGAGAAAAGGAGCGAAACACACTGAGGTGATTCTTGGAGATTTCTTCCAGCGACGGCGCGACTGAAGCAGACGAAGAGTCTAAAGACGGATTCATCGGTCGCTCAATTATTTCTAGACAAGTCACTTCAACAGTAATTTTGAACGTGCACTGGCTGTAAACAAACGTGATTTCTAGAGTAAAGAGGCGGGAGGAGGTGTTTCTACTGAGGCTGTGGAGGAGGAAGGTGATGTCGCTGTATTTCTCTTCCCTTAAAAAATCCTCTATACAACCTTTAAGTAAAATACAGAAAAGCTGCTTAAAATCGACCAAAACACCAAGAAAATGTGAATATACCAGGGACGTAACGATATCCAAATATCTCAACACGATATTATCACGATATGAATCTCACGGTACGATATTTATTGCGATATTCTGGAGAGGCTGATATAATTGTAGACAGGAATAAGAAAGAAGAATTTGGTGTGAATTATTACCGTCATAATCCCAATCTTCATGTTGTCTGCGCTGAAATGAATCGTGGGATATGTAGTTCCCAATGTTTAATAGATGTTGTTACTATAAAACAATGAATTTAAGCAAAGGATTTTGAAATTCCATATATTGTGACGGCCCACGATATTATTGTGAAACTTTTGACGATACGATATCACGATATTTAAGTTACTGTTACATCCCTGGAATATACTGACTCATGTTTGTCATGAATGAACCGAGTGCAGAACTATTCTCTTTAGTCACGCGCTCGTTTCACAGTTTTATTTTTACCAACCCCCACAAACCCAGAGTGTCCCAGTTTTTGATTCTGAAAATCTGGTCCCCCTCGTCTTGCCCAAGGACACAACAGCCTGTACAGCTCCGAGCAGAAAAAGCTTGGCTAAAATGTAAAATACAAACACTTAAATCTATCATCTAAATCACAGGTGTCAAACATACGGCCCAGGGGCCAGATCCGGCCCTCCAAGACCTTTAATCTGGCCCTCGGCTGATTTTCTACTCAAATATTTTAATGATATTTTCTATTAAAATCGTGTTAATTTTCTGTGGTGTTTATCACAGCAGCGTCTCCAGCGTCTCTGTACGTGGCCCCTCCCACCAGAGCAGCACAAATGAAGACTTGTCTCTGTCCAAACGCTCTTAAAGGACGATCGTTTTGACTGTTGACCGTGACACCCTCATCAGAAAAATGTCCAACATGAGAAAAGTGGAGCCGAGTGCAGGATTTTACAACAAAAATGGATTTTATTCCTGTTTTCATACAAGCTCATGTTGTGTTGAAATTGTATTTTTTCTCAAAGTTTCAGGTTTGTTCATAAATATTATAATATTTTGTAAAAGAAAGAGTTCATCAATTCAAAAAAGATTTCTGTAATAGATTTGTGTTTCTCTGCACAAAATATTTGAACTTATTGTTATTTTTTGGGGTTTATATATGACATGAGTTTTCTGATCCGTTTTTTTCCATTTTTCATTTAAACACAAAATCGAAAACTGAAAAAACAAATCATTATCGTGTTTTTTTTTCATTTTGGATTTGGAGACAAATAATGAAGAAAATAGTTGTTTTTGCGTTTCCTTATTTTTGGTTTTATATTGAAAAACAAATGAACAAACAACACACAGATTTCTTGTGCAATAACTGTGATATATTCTGTATTTATATCTCCATATTTGTGTTTTACTCACTGTACAAACATTCTTATAATTTATGTTTTATTTACTAGTCTCTGGTTTTTTTGTTACCTGGTTTTAGTCNTCCTGGTTTAGTTTAGTCCTGGTGGTTTAGACCTGGTTTTGGTTTACCTGGTTTACCTGGACCTGGTTTACCTGGTTTCCTGGTTTAGTTTCCTGGTTTAGACCTGGTTTAGACCTGGTTTAGTAGACCTGGTTTAGTCCTGGTTTAGACCTGGTTTAGACCTGGTTTAGACCTGGTTTAGTCCTGGTTTAGTCCTGGGTTTAGACCTGGTTTAGTCCTGGTTTAGTCCTGGTTTAGTCCTGGTTTAGTTTCCCTGGTTTTAGTCCTGGTTTAGACCTGGTTTAGTCCTGGTTTAGTCCTGGTTTAGTCCTGGTTTAGACCTGGTTTAGTCCTGGTCCTGGTTTAGACCTGGTTTAGTCCTGGTTTAGTCCTGGTTTAGTCCTGGTTTAGACCTGGTTTAGTCCTTTTCCTGGTTTTAGTCCTGGTTTAGTCCTGGTTTAGACCTGGTTTAGTCCTGGTTTAGGTTTAGTCCTGGTTTACCTGGTTTAGACCTGGTTTAGTCCTGGTTTTAGTCCTGGTTTAGTCCTGGTTTAGACCTGGTTTAGTCCTGGTTTAGACCTGGTTTAGTCCTGGTTTAGTTTAGTCCTGGTTTAGTCCTGGTTTAGTCCTGGTTTAGTTTAGTTTCCTGATTTAGTCCTGGTTTAGTCCTGACTCACTACCTGCCCTCATACCTGCCCATAAAATTCCAGAACGTTAAAACCCTCGTGGACCAGACCCGGTGCAGGACTCTGGTTGGGTTTAGGGTTTCAAATCTCTAGACTGGAGTCGTTAGTGATTCACTCCACACGTCAGTCTGAGCCGCCTCCGACCAACAACGCCAAACTTTCACCACATTCAGACTTAAAGCGGTTGAGGCGTCTTGTCTAGAGCGACACTGGGACTGTCCCTGTTCACCCGGGACAGTCCCAGTGTTGATCCTGTGTCCCCTGTCCCAGCAGATTTACACAAAAAACACTGATTTGTCCCAGTTTTATACAAGAAATGTCACTATTTTTGACCAATCTGATCCCTGCCGACAGTAAACAGAGACATACATTGATATTTCTTTAAAGGTTGTATGGAGGATTTTTTGTTGTTGTTTCAAATTGTCAAAGAAAATTTAAAACACCATTACAGAGACGCAGCAGCCTTGGAATTATGATGAACAAAAAAAAACAAAAAAAAAAATCTATCAACTGTGGACGTGTTGAGACCAGATAAACATCAGCCAATAGAAAACCAGGCTCCCTCATTTCCTATTGGCTGTTGGGTTGTCAATCAAACTCCCTACGTTTCCAGTGTAACTGACTCGTCGGCGCGCGGGGATTACGTGGTTTATGCGTCGGTTCTTGGAGGCTTTTTCAAACCGTCGCTTTCTCACATTTCGTACAAAGTTTGTCGCGACGGCGGACGAGAATCCACGACCAGTTCGCCGCGAAACAAAGTCGGTTTTTGAGGTCGTTGAAAGAAGAAGAGAAGAAGGAGAAAAGGAGCGAAAACACACTGAGGTGATTCTTGGAGATTCCTTCCAGCGACGGCGCGACTGAAGCAGACGAAGAGTCTAAAGACGGATTCATCGGTCGCTCAATTATTTCTAGGACAAGTCACTTCAACAGTAATTTTGAACGTGCACTGGCTGTAAACAAACGTGATTTCTAGAGTAAAGAGGCGGGAGGAGGTGTTTCTACTGAGGCTGTGGAGGAGGAAGGCGGTGTCGCTGTATTTCTCTTCCCTTATAAAATCCTCTATACAACCTTTAAGTAAAATACAGAAAAGCTGCTTAAAATCGACCAAAACACCAAGAAAATGTGAATATACCAGGGACGTAACGATATCCAAATATCTCAACACGATATTATCACGATATGAATCTCACGGTACGATATTTATTGCGATATTCTGGAGAGGCTGATATAATTGTAGACAGGAATAAGAAAGAAGAATTTGGTGTGAATTATTACCGTCATAATCCCAATCTTCATGTTGTCTGCGCTGAAATGAATCGTGGGATATGTAGTTCCCAATGTTTAATTTAGTTGTTACTATAAAACAATGAATTTAAGCAAAGGATTTTGAAATTCCATATATTGTGACGGCCCACGATATTATTGTGAAACTTTTGACGATACGATATCACGATATTTAAGTTACTGTTACATCCCTGGAATATACTGACTCATGTTTGTCATGAATGAACCGAGTGCAGAACTATTCTCTTTAGTCACGCGCTCGTTTCACAGTTTTATTTTTACCAACCCCCACAAACCCAGAGTGTCCCAGTTTTTGATTCTGAAAATCTGGTCCCCCTCGTCTTGCCCAAGGACACAACAGCCTGTACAGCTCCGAGCAGAAAAAGCTTGGCTAAAATGTAAAATACAAACACTTAAATCTATCATCTAAATCAC